AATTTTTCAAGGGGTGTCGAAAGTTCACCATTCTTGTATCCTGCTCCTTTTGATTTTGTCGATTTTCTGGAACAAAACACAGTAAAAAACTAGTTTTTGAATAAATAATTAGCATTAATTAATAAAATTAATCATTAATAACAAATACTTAATTAAATTTTACGTACTATATACTTAGAATTATAATCAATCGGAAACAAGTCGAGGGCTTTCGGCGGGAGTCCGGACCCCCAGGACCCCCTTGTATGTGCCACTGCTCGCGCCCCTTTGTAGAGTTATCACGCTCCCTGGGGGCGTGCCCCACAGTTTGAGAAGCGCTGCATTATAACTAAGAAATTTATGTATATTTTGTATAAAAAAAGTATGTGATTCCCCCCCCTTTTTTAAAGAAAATAGTTATATATTGATTCTATAAAATGTAGAATACAATCTTCTAATTAATTTGCCATATCTTGAAGCAAATTGATTTGCATATAAATGTTGCTTTTGAACGATTGGTGATGGGTCTTGTAGTTTTCAATCATATTCTGTGAGCCTCTTTCTGTTAACTTCCATACCAGGTCATTTGAAGATTTTTTAAGTTCACACAATTTAAAATGCAGCAACCTATTGGTCCACTTTACTACTTTTTGTGAATTTAATCTCAATATTTAACATTTCCGGCAGCGAAGCTTACAACTTTATGCCCTAGAATATTACGGGCGCTTTTTTAAAAGATCAATTGTTTTGAATTTTTCGTTACGAATTTGGTAAAAAAAAACTAAAATATTTTACTAAACAAAAAATATTCTTAATTAAGAAAAACAATTATTGCTATCGATTTTCAATTATGCTATACTTAGGTTCTTATACTCAATGTTGCTGATGCTATACATAAAAGTACTGAATGAAATTCACTTCAGTCTCATTACATATTTGAAAGGAAATTTAATAATGTGAATAGAATTTTTTATTAATGTTTTCTTACATGGATAAAATGTCAAAAATATTTATTTTGTTCATCGTCGTTCTACAAAGAGATATCAAATAAATTTTGTTTCTCTTCGGACATTTTAATAACAAACAATATGTAACCAATAAAACGTAAAAAGTAAAAAGACAAGTAGTGAACTATATTTTCAAAGTTATCGAGTTTATATAGTGGTATTTTACGGTACAATTATTTCGATTCATTTTATTATTTTGTTAATATGTTTTCTTTCTTAGTTATTGAACGCAATTAAATTTAGTTTTAGTGTTTACTTTTTTATTACTTTTTGGAATATAATAATGTATTACTCTGCGATGTAACTACTATTTTTCTAAATTAAGGAATTATGTTAAAAATCTAGGATGATTTCTTAAAATTCCTGAAGAATTACTACCTTCGTAAAAATCAAATATCACATAACATAGAAACAACTTAGAGTTTCTCTTCTATTCATTTAAGTTTAATTGCCATTTTTCCCTGAAAAATTTCATTCTTTGATATCTTCATTAATTTAATTTATTGAAAACTTCATTCACAAATGTTCAATATTTTTTTTGTCAAAAAAAAAAACTATAAGTACTGATCGTTTCAACTTTTAATTTCTTCTCTTTCTTTTTTTACTTACCAAGAAAAACTTCCCCCTCCCACGGCAGCATTTTTTTTTTAAAGTTCCTCTTCCATCTGAATTTGATGGATGTTAAGGCAAGAATGATTGATCTTGCATTTTTTTTCTTGATCCTCAAATCGATCATGTCTTCCCCAAAATTAATCTGCTGCAATTTTAATAACTTTGATCGCAAGGAAACGTGCAGTATATTATTTTTCAGAATATGCATTAAGAACGATTTTATATCATTCAAAAGAACCACTTTAGATTATTACCTAGTGGGCTTAATATATTAATGTTTAAAATCAGTTGAACTTAATCATTCACATATGGTTATTTTTAAGAGAATCTTAAATGTATATTTTATCTTTGTTGTGACAAAAGCTACTGATTTGCATAATTGAAATAAGTTTACTTCAACCGCTTGTGATATTAATCCGATTGAGTATGAAATTCGAAAATCGTTATTTAAATATTTTTAATCTGGTATACTTTTTTTATACCTTGACCATATAAAACAATGAAATTCTGTTAACTTCAGTAAAACTTAAAATATGTCGACAAATATACATGGAAAGATGAACTTGCTAATTTAAAAATAAATAAGGCTTCATAAATATATTTTGTGTGTATTTAACATAAATTTTACTGCTGTATCCCAGATAAATGTTCTAGATTTTTTTTTGCACTGTTTCCTAAAATTATGAACAGTGCTGTCAGAACAAATACAGCCATTTTGATTCAAGAAAACACTGAAACATATTTCATTGTACCCTATTATTTAGAATATAAAATATCAGACGACTAAAAAACATGATTTTTTTAAAATATAGAAGTTTTTAATATTGTTGAAGGCAATGTTCGCAACCCCTGGTCCGCGGACCGGTACCAGGCCGTGGATCAAATGGTACCGGTCCGCACAAGAAACATTCAATTATTTACTGTGGTATATTTTTCTTGGTTTTGAGTTACTTTTCATGAAAACCACTTTATGTTCCTGGTTAAATCACTTTGTATTCATTTTTTGCAGTAGTTATATTTTATTCTAATGTCACGATTAAATACAATTGAATTAAAATTATTAAATCAAAACAGTCTAAAATATAAGCAATCAACGTTTTCACCTCAGCGGGCCGCGGTAAAATTAACAAACGTTGACCGGTCCGCGGCGATAAAAAGGTTGCGGAACACTGGTTTAAGGTATCCGACTACGTTCGGAACCGTGATTTTGTAAAAGCTTATAAATGGATAATATTTTTGATATTTAGTGTCACGTAGGCTGGAAAACTTATATAAAATTGTTTTAAAAATATTATTACAGTAAAAAAATATTAAGTACAATATTTTGACAAAAAAAAAATGAACATAGAATGACCCATTTTCAAAACATTCTTCTTTTATGGAAAATGCTTCGATTATAAAAATATTCTACCTGTATATATCTCAGACCTCTGTACAGAGGCTGAACTAGAATTTTTGAACTATATAACTTAGAAGTGGATTTATCCATATTTTATTACAAGAGAGGGGAATTTTTTTAAAAAAAATGCCTATAATTATTTCAATTGGTTGTAACTCTGAAAATAATGTGAAATTTTCAAAAATCCTAGTTCAGACTCACTGGAGAAGTCTTTACTTTATATAAGCAAAATAGTATTATTATCGATGTATTTCTTATAAAATAAGAACGTTTTGAAAATAGGTTATTCTAAGTTAATTTTTTTGCCAAAATATTGTATTTAAATAATTTTTGTTTAGTCATAATGTCCTTAAAACAATTTTATACATGTATTCTAATCTAAGTGAGACTAAATATCATGAAAATTATTCATGTATGTGCTTTTCGAAAACCACGGTTCCGAACTTAGTCAGATACCTTAAATATGATAAAAGCTTAACTTTGAAACGAAAAAAAAATAAATATTTTCCAGCGCATCTTGCTATTATCTAATGCAAGGGCGATAAATTGTTTTAGCATTGTTGAAACGGATGATATCGAAAGGCTGCGTCTTTTTAAAATGATTACATTCATTAGTTCACTTTTCATCTTCAAAAAGGTGTAATTTGTACCAACAAATCAATCAATATAAGTTAAATAAAATAATGGAACTTTTGTTCAATTTATTTACTGGGCTACTTTCATATGCATAACTTCAAGAAAATTTTATTTTAGAATCAGCTTAATGAGACAAATGTGCCCTATATCACACTTTCCTACATTTTTTAAAAAGAATCAGGAGTAAGATTGCTGAAATTCTCATCACAACTTTCAAGCTAATGTCAACCAATTAGCATCTATATTTAATCTTCTTGATCTTCGTGCAAGAAACTTTGCTCACACATGTATATGTTAACTGAAATACAGAAAACAATTTTTGGATGGCTTGGAGGGCCGCTATTTGCCTAATGAATTTAGTTCTTTTGTACATTCAATGAAACATGAGGAATTTCTTCGATATAACTTTGTAATAGTTACTTGTACTCTAATCTGACACATAAAATACCATCCAACTACTAGCGTAGCTAGTTCTGAATGGGCCCCGTATCAAAACTCTTTTGGGGCCCTTTTTGAAAAATGAAAGCTATGTTAGTCGTAATGTAGTTACACACGTGGGGGCTTCTGTAGCTTGGGGGCCCCGTATCGTTGAGGCGGTAGCTACGCCCCTGCATCCAATTCAATATTTAAACATGTGACAAAAAAACACCAAATTAACTCAATTCCTACTTAGGTCAACAAAGAAAAAAAATTATAGTTACTTTTTATTAAATAATTACAATGGACTAAATTCACGATGGTCACATGATAACAGCAATCACGTGTTTCCCACTGACTAAAAATTGACACACTAGTTGTTCAACTTGTAAAGTTTAGATAACATATAAAATTTGATTATTGGGTAAACAGTTCACGTGTTAAAATTCTTCAAACAGTTTTCAAGATTTAAAAAAAAAACTTTACATGATAGAATACTTTTAAATTAAGTGCATTTTTTTTAACTATGTGCATTATTATATCATTGAAAAGTATGTACTTTTTAAAAGAAAGTTTCTGCAAAATCAAAAGTTGGTAACAGTGAAGCACATGGACTCATTGGCTGGAAACGCGTGTTTACATGTATGATGTAATTATGACGTCGAATTAATTTAACTGATTTAATTTATTAACTGATTGGCTGAAAGCACGTGACTGAGTTATCATGTGACTATGACGTCAAATGAATTTAGTCCATTACTATATATATGTATATACATAGGACAGAATCACAATATTACGTGACAAAATAGAAAGCGATTATCCACTGTTCTTTCCATATAGAGTGTCGGACTATTTTTATTTGTTGGTTATTATTTATTCATTAATTAAATTTAATTATACTAATAAAATAGTGCAGTAAAAAGAAATCACATTCTCAGAAATTAGGCTATTCCTGGTGAGATTCGAACCCATGATATTTGGATTAAAAGTCCAACACGCTATCCATTGCGCTACAGGAACACAACGAACGATTTTCCCTTTCTTTCATTTTTTTAGTTTAATTAATGAATTAATATTTGAAAAAATGTATTTGAACTTGAATGATATAGATAAATATAAAATATTTTATTAATGACTGAAAATTTGAACAAGATATATATATATATGGAGAGAGGGAGCTAATAGTAGGAATTGAAACACACACACACGCAAATTTTAACATTAGAATTTCGTTCTAAATTTTTGAAGGAAAATATTGCATTATATATATATATATATATATATATATATATATATATATATATATATATATATATATATATTCTATGATATAAGACTTAATTGGTACCGAATATAAAACAGCTTGCTCAGTCTTACTATTTTTTTATAGTTAAATTGATCTTTCATTCCCTTATTCAAAACCACACATATATAAATATATACACTGCACAGCATTTTTAATCCGTTAATTCGTCTAATTAAATTTTCTCTCCTAGTAATCCAAATGATTAATAAATCAAAATCGAAAACTTCAAAGTAAGAGTTTAACAAGAGAGATTTTTAAAAATTTTTCCCCTTTTAGAGGGATTGAAAAAAAAAGTTAATTTATAACTCTGAATCCTAAATTAATACCCCTAATGGGTTTTCCTCCCTTTGTAATTCGGGGCCGAGTAAACTGTTAACTGTTAAACGGCTCTCATCTCCTTTTATTGAGAAGTTTAGTTGGTGGGGCCAGCTTAAGCGGCTTAAGGATTCTAACACCTCCCGGATGAGGCGAATGCAGCCGCCAGCGCAGGCAATCCCGGCACGTCCGTATATAAAATACGCAATTTACGGACTCGTCCGGGGTAACTATTACCTTCTTAGCCATAAAATATATGGTTTGATAACTCTTTGTATTCCGTCTGCGTCCGAGTAACAGGCGATTTCTATATATCTCGGAAATATATGGCATCTTCCGTGGATTCTTTTTGGAGATGGATATTTAGGCGTTGAGCCGGCTGTGGCCGAGGCTGTTTAGAGTTTCGATGGTGGGGCCGCCTTGCAGAAAAAGCTAGTAAGTTGATCATTCATCAGGGGGTGCGATGGATCAGGAAATACAGAGGGAGCGGGTAAAAACGTTCGATTGTTCAGATTTGAAACAAATTCTTTTGAAAACTTTTTTTTAAAAAGTGGAGGTATGGGGATTTTTTTTTATTTTTGTTTTTAGATTCTTCTAATACATTTTAAGAAAAATTTAATAAATTAAGAAGAGAAAAAGAAATTATTATAACTAAAATGGGAAAAAATTGGGAAAAATTGACAAAAAATGACAAACGGGTCCATTCTGTATCACAAATTTATGAACAAATTTTCTATTTTTCAATTCTGGTGTGTTGCTATGTTATTCGTTTTTCAAATGACTTTCTGAGTAAGAGATATTTTAATTTTTACAAAAACTGCAGCTCTTTATCTTAGTTATTATACGAAATTGTTTAAAAAAACAGTGATTATATTCACATAAGGGACCGTAAACTCTGTAATAAAACAGTAATTGATAAATAAGGTGGATAAAACACTTTTACTATTATACAGAACATACACAAAAAATTTCAGTTAATTATTTTTAAAAGTTTTTTAGCAATCGCTATCCCTGCGCGTGTTTGAGCATTTTCAAAATAAAAAAAAACACATTTCGAGTAAAACGCATTTTAATGTATAGCATATTGCTTAAAGTAATGTGGCATCTGTTTTAACTAAAAAAACCTGTAATTTTTGTTCTAGTGAACGGAAAATAATAAACTTGATATTTTTATGAAGCTAATAAGATAGCCTATAAAATAAAATCTGAAGAAAATTTGTCCATTTTTTGCAAAAATTTATAATTTTAGGGTAGTCGGATATCTTAAGTAGAGTTTGAGGTACATGCTAATGATAATGAATGGTAATTTTGCGTCGTTCAAATAAATAATAATAATTTTTTTTTTTTACTGAAGTATTTTCCGGCCATTTATCAGCAGCTAAATTGCAAGAAATTTTTCACTGATTTTAAGTTATCCTTAATTCTTATAAGACATTGAAATTTCAAGAGCTATTTGTGTTTTGGTTTAATTTAATTGGTAGTGATATTTGTTCTTGTAGTCAGAACGTTGAAGCTATGGAACATGTTTTGTTGTATTGTAACCTATATTTTTGTAAAAGAGAAAAATTTAAAGAGTTGAAACACACACACGTTTAGGTATTTCCTAGCCACCTGTTTTGTGTTTTTGTTGGTTAATTGTACAGAAAGCCTTAATGTGTCTTCAGAAATTTTACTTACTGTATAGATTTTAAAAGTTTTATAGGTACCTCCTCCCCTTCTTTATATTTGTGTGGTATATTTCCCCCTTCTTTTTATTTTATATTTCTATCTTAAATATATTTTTAATTTTGTTTTAATTGATATAGTGCTGTTATCATTTACATCTATAAGCCTCATGTTATGCAATGTGGAGCATGAGGTGTTTCGCAAATAAATTAATTTAAAAAATATAAAATCAATATATTACTTGCATTCAAAACAAATAAATATGCCAACGATTATATACATATTAAATGTACAAAGAAAATTCGAGTGACTTATTGAATTTTTTAAATATTTTTCTGTGATTTCTTCAAAAACGCGTTAAGTGGTCATATGCAAATGAATTTTGATAAAGGATTAAAAAAAGGGCATTTTTCTCTCTTTCTCAATTTTTAAATCTTACTTCGGGTGAGTGAGTGAGTGAATATTAACATCGCACCGTTCAGCTAAACGAGGGCTTTTGGCGACGGACCACATAATTTTGAACCATGGTCAAATGACGTGGACGACACCTGAGCTGGCACCCCCTCCCCTAACTACCACACACATCAATGGGAGGACGTTTCAGCTTTCGACAGATTTAATGTGCATCGCTGCCCTACATGGCAGGTCTTTAGTGGTACGGCACTCGAAATCATGACATGCCTGTCATGATCCAATACCTTGACCACTGGGCTACCGCAGCCCAAATCTTACTTCGGAGAATAAAGTTAAAATTTACATGATTATATCATTTAAGTACAGTGAAGATTCTTGTAAATATTTTGTGAAATTAAGGAATTAATAAAATTAAAAAATACATATAGTACTGTTTGGGGAAATTGAAAGATTGATTTTAAAGTATTTTTATTACAATTATATAAGTAATCTTAACTAATTTTATCTTTCAAATTTTATACAATTATTAATAAATGCATAAGTCTGTGCGTAGTGTAGTTTTTTCTATAGTTATGGGGGATATTCAGGATATAATAAGTTAATATAATTGTACATCATATATAATTAATATAATTGTTGTTGTAAACAGATTTACAAATTTGAAATTCAAAGACAGTTTAATTAACAAAGATTTTGTTTTTTTCCCCCAAACCTCTTAATGAGCAATAAAACAGTTTTCTTAAAAAAGGAATTACGGGAAGACAACATCACAGTATTGGGTTAGATTCTATTTTAATACATACCTTTAATTGTCGCCAATTGGTCAAGTTGTTGGAGTCAGATTGGATAAAGTCCAATATAGAAAACGTGGTTTCGGCGCAATTTGCTTTTTTCCGTCGCCATTAGGTGAATTAAACAGGAATTTTACTCCATAGTTTTCAATATTTGTAAATATTAATAGCGTTAGTTATCTTAGTGCATTCTTTTCGTGTATTTTTCTATTAAAATTTTCTTAATTTTACTTAATTTTTAATCAATTAATTATTGATGTTTCTATATTTTTTTATTTAAAGTCTTGAATATTGAAATAATTTTTCTCTCGATTAATGTACTTATGTGAAACTTTTAATGCAAAAAATTTATTGTTTTCTAGTTTTAAATTTAGTGCATAATTCGCGCTGGAATTTAAAAAAATGTTTATATTTCATGGTGTCTGAAATCAACCTACTGCAATGAAATCAATATTTTTTATATTTGGCTTGATTATTTTCTAGGTGATCCCTTTTGTAAAAAAGTGAAACCTTATGTGCTCATCTATAAAACTTCTGATTATTTTAATCTAAATACACATTTAATTTCGAAGTTATGCTTGTGACAAGATTAAATTATGTGTTTTGAAAGATGTACAAGGATTAAACGCCTCTCTTTATAATTAAATGTCAGATTCATCTTCTGGTATGTAATATTTCAAAATAGACTTGGAAGATTATTAAAACTTACTCATCAGAAAGCACTTTTAATCCTGTTGGCTATAACTGCAGGCTTTTTCTTCTTCACTTTAGTTATACAGAAAACATGCTTCAAAATAAATGTTCAGTTATTAATTTTTTGTTGAGGGCGTAAACTTCGAAATTCACCATTTCATGGATTAAGATTTGTTATTGATTTTTTGTTATTGTTTAATACTTCACCTTATAGGAAACCTCAAGTATTGTGGTAGTAATATAATTTTTAATCTTTTACAAAAGCCTTATAATCTAACTTTCAATTTATATCTCAGTAAAATAAATGTTTATTACGATTAGCCAGCAGATGACAGTGAAAATTATTCTCCACTGATTTGAATCTCAATATGTGAAACCATTGACGTTTAAGTTTTTTTGTTGTATTTATTATAATGGCTTCGTGTAAATTTTAACAGCTTTGGATTTTTTTTCTCCTCTTATTTGTTGAAGGGGTTCTTTGACATTTTTTTTTCTTACTTTGCTCAGGTTTGCAATTTTTTTTTCATTTATTTTATTTTTACTGATATTTGATATTTTACTTTTTGATGCAGTTTGGATTTAAACAGCAAGCATGCTTATATTTCCAACAATATTTTTCTTTCATTTTAGTATTTTAAGTATCAAACATTTCAAATATTTTTTTCGCTGTTTATTTTGAAATAAAGGAGAAATATCTTGCATTAACTACAGTTATTAAGACAACGATTATTATTTTGATTATATGATTTTATATTATGTGATTCTCATTTATAATTTTAAATGAAAATCACTCTCAATTATACTGCTCGTGTTCCTTTTTATTGTGGTTTTTACTC